GTTCAAGCCCTTGGACAGTCTCTTCTAGTTCTCTTTCTGGTGGTAAAAACCACCACAAGATAGTGTGTCCGCAATGAGAGAGCCACTCAAACCTCTTGGTGGTCATATGTTAGCGGGAAATGTCATATTTTTTGTTGGGCGCCCGTGTTTTACGGGTACCTCTTTGTGGGTTGGTAAGGCACCATTTTTTGAACACGCTCAGCCTTTGTTGGAGTCATCCTACGCGGGGAGCCATGACCCACACAAGAAGTTTGACCATGGCATAGGTTTGATCACAATTTGTCTAGTGGTCTATGGTCAGAATTTCGGGAGGGACATGGGAAACAAACTCTACGATTTGTTCCCACAACCAGAACAGCAATTTGACACTGGGTCTTAGGTGGGTTGAAAGCGAATCCAAACGGGGAAGCACCCAATTGCAGGGGTCCCTTCTGCCAACCAGGTCCTTCCACAACGAACCTTCCAGGCACCCTTCCATCCGGTCCCTTTGCGAACGCCACTTCTTAGTTGCAAGAGGAATAGCAACAGCGCCACTCTACAGGTTTCTTTTTCTAGAGGACCCTATTGGCCCCCCCAATTTTAGGGGACACACTCGAAGTCTTTCTGGAGGTGAATGAGGTGCAGGGTGCCATGAAGAAGATGCGGATCTTCTCTTCCCTTGGCTTCGACACCCGCTCCGGGCTGCTCGTCAACAGCGGTGAGAGTCCTTCGTCGTCGCCGAGCAACGCACCGTGGGCGGGCGACCTGGGGCTGGGCGTGTCCTTGGGCAAGGCGAGCGAAATCGGCGGATCCGGCCGGCGCCGGCGCCGGAAGGAGCGCGTTGCTGATGCGTTGGAGTAGAGCGGGGGCATGAAGTCTTGGAGCTTCTTTGGGAAGGGTATGTTAATTGGACTCTAGTACATGTATGTATGTCCCCCGGCCTAGCAGGTTCTTCTTTTCTTGGCCGCTTTTAGGGAGGGGCGCACCCCGGAACCGGCACTAAGGGTTTCTTTCTAACCCGATGAGCACCCCCTCTCTGGCCTTGAAGGGTTCTGCTAGGGTGACAGTGCCCGCTGGCTGGTTTTTGCCGTTTTGGCTCCGGTTTGTGTTGGGTTCAGGCCGCGCGTCCGGGGCAGCTGTGGCAGCCTCTCTTGTCTTTTGTTTTTGTTTCTGGCCCCCCCTCCCCCAATATGTGTGTGTGTGTGTGTGTGTGTGTGTGTGTGTCTGTGTGTGTGTGTGTGTGTCTGGGTTGGTGTCTGCTTTGCTGCTCCTCTCTTTCCTTTTCCCTCTCTTCGCTCTCTCTTTCCTCTCCTCTTTTCTTCTTTGACTCCCCTCTCTTTCTTCCTCTTTTGGCCGTGTCTTGCTGGGTTGTCGGCCCGGGTGTGACCCCGAGTTCCTTTCTTTCTCTTTGGCTGTCACTGCCCCCCCGGCGCGCTGGCCGGTGCTGTGCGTGTGATCGCACTCTTGGGTGTTTACTGCTGGTGTGAGCCGGCAGCGGGCCCCCGTGGGTGTGACTCCGCAGGCTTCCGATTTCGTGCGCGTGTAACCGGTGTGATCCGGCTGCCCCCGTACGTCATCCTGCCCACAAGACTCATGGACCTGTGCGCGGAAGGTGCTTTGCCGGAGGGCAGTGATGCGTCGAGCGTTGCGTCTGCCAGGGAGGTGGCCCGCTTGGACGTGTCTGGGTGACTGCGTGTCTTGGAAGGGGTCAGACACCTTGCTTTTTGTGTCGTTGCAGTCCGGCGGGTCTGGATGCGATCAGAAATGACTGGGGCAGGCACTGGGGCCGATGCCTCTCTTTCCTTTTCTGTTGTTTGTTTTTGTTCTTCCTTGCCATCGTGCAACTCGGCCCCAGAGGCTGGCGGTGAGGCCTGCTATGACGTTTGCGGAGCAGTGCCGTTGACCCGACAGTGGAGGGACTGCTCGGACCGCAAAGAAGTTTACTTCTCTGTAGGTCGCCCTCCAATCCAATCCAATGTATGTATGTACACGAACACAAGACAACGTGTGTAGTACCATAGGCTAATTACAGGTAATATCGCTTCCTTTGGCTTCTCTTGAGATGGCTTCCTCAAAGGACTTCGACCCTGCGGACTTCGACGCGGATCGCGGGGAAAGAAGGCCGCGGTCCCCTCGGGACAAGCGGTCGAGGGAGTCGCGCAAGGCGAAGGCCCTGCGCAGCCCGGCGGCAAAGACGGCACCAAGTCGACCAAACCACGAAGCGTGTTGTTTTCTTTCGAGCTGGTACCCCTTCCGTTTTTGGGGAAACCCAAAGAAGGACATCACACAATTTGGTGGGCCCCCTAAAGAATAAGACAGACCCACCTGACCTTATGGTATACTCTTAATTTGTTTTGGGGGGATTTTCAACACCCCCCCCTCCTTCCCCCTCCCCCCCTCCCGGTTTTTCCCGCCTTTTTCTTAGGCGAGGAGGATGCGGAGGACCTGGAGCTGGGCCAGCTCTTCGCCCCGCTGCGCCGGGGCGGCGACTCCGCGCGGGGCTCCGCGCGGGGCTCCGCGCGGGGCCCCGAGGCGGCGCCGCATTCGTTGGGGCGGGCGGCGTGGGACACGTCCCCGGCGGTGCTGCAGTCGGAGAGCTGCGAGGTGTCGCAGAGCGTGGTGGAAGGCCGGAGGGGAAGAAGTTGGGCCCCGCTGGAAATCTCCCCCCTGCAACCAGCGCCAGCAGGCAGCCAGGGAAAGCTGTCCATGACATTGGCGGGTTTTGCTGTCGCGTGCTAAGATGGGGACCGATTCAAGCCACAGATTCATGATGCAGTAGTGCAACAGATGCTCAAGATGCCCGCCGAGCTCTTCCAGTTGCTGCTGTAGGTGACCAGATTACCTACTATAATGGTACCCTGCACTGGGCAGCTTAAACGCACTTTTAGCCCTTTTTTTCCTTCCAACATCTCGAGACCTTCTACAACCCTTTTTCTCTCACTTCAATTTGTTTCAGGAATTGTCTCCAACTGGAAGACCCGCCAGAAAGTGGGTGTCGTTTTTGGCGTCCCTGTAAAGCCAACCTACAAGGGCTTACTCTTCTAGGGGTACCTTCCCCATTCTTTCCAGGGGTTCCTTCCTTTCAGGAAACCATCAAAAACCCAGAGAACAGAGCCGGTGTTTGGAAAGAACGATGCCTGAAAGGAATGGAACCGTGTTTGGTGGTAGTTTCCATTTAACCCACCAAAAGTTAAAAACTTTCAGCGGGGGATCTGAGGACAGCCCAGTCAAGACGAGCCAAACGCCGCGCCCTCCATTTCGAGGCCCCACGGAGAGCCACTTCCGCTCCCTGCGCGCGACCCAGCTGGGGCTTCCGCCCGAGGACCTGGAGGGCGCCAAGCGGCAGGCGCGTGCTCAAAACCGAGTCGGGGATCGAAGGTTGGTGAGGGCAGGGGGGTCTTTTTGCCGCCCTTTTTTGGAAAATGGTTCGAAAGATTCCCTTTTAACGGGGGTTGCCCAAATTTTCTCACAAAAGGGGGCAAAAAAAAGCCCCCCGTGCCATACATAGCTGCGGTGCGGATATCTGCCTGCTGGAAATTCCTGAAGCATTCTGGGGATCGGCCATGTAGTGACTCAGGAAGTAAGGAATTAAAAGATGGTACCGGGTTTTGAGTGTGACGGCAGGTGGCGGCGGACGACGTGGAGGACTTCGGCGGGGACTTCTTCGCCTACGCCCTGCCGCGCGCTTGCAGCTCTCGGGGGTGTCAATTTTTTGGAGTTGGTACCCCTTTTGTGTGGCTTGAAAGGGAAACCAAGAGGAAAACCACTTTTTGGGGGTCACTGGGGTCACTTGTGCGGACAACCGCGAAGAGCGCGGAAAGCGCGTTTTGGAAGGTGTCGTCTTTTGGAGTTAGTACGCCTGTGGTCTGGCTTGAAAGGGTTTGCAGGAGGAAAGCGACCGCTTGCGATGAATTTGAGTAGGTGACCCAGATTGGTGGACATCAAATCTAAATCATTGCAACCACGTGTGAGGTTTCCTATTAAGATTCACAAAGCTTGTGACTAGGGTTTCTTAAATGATACAACTTGGCCATTACAAGCATGACCCTTGTTTGACCGGACCAGAAAGGAAACAACCTTGTTTTGGGAGATAGGGGGGAGGAATGTTCAGGTGTTGGCCCTTTCGGTTCATTTCACGTCAAGCTAGGCGGACCATGTACGTAAATCCCGCTTTTGTGTGTGTGTGTGTGTGTGTCTTTTCGCCAGGTGGGTGGCCCAGCAGTTTGACCAGCGACGCCGGAAGCCGCGGACGATGGGCCGCGCGGACTCCTTGGGGCAGCTGGAGGAGAGCGGCTTGGCGGAGTTGTTTCATCCGCCGATCTCCAGCCTTGGTGGCGTGTCGCGCGTGTGAGCGTCGCTGAGCGTAGCTGAGAGGTCAGAGGTGGTGGACCCATGGCAGGGCACAAGATGGAGATCCAGACACGAGGCGAGGATGTGGCGAGCATGCTGCCGTTTGGATGATTGAAACGCTCAAGATGGCAAGATGGCGTCTGCAGGGCATCACTGGCATTCCCGCCCCATCTATGAGCAACAGATGGGAAGCAAACGGCGGATCTGCTTGCCTATGGTACCGACCAGGGGCATTCGTAGAAACGCCAGACCTGCGGCTTGAATTCAGAGGATCTTTGTGCAGCTCTGCAGTGGCTCACGGGTGGCTGGCAAGATGAATCAGGTCTCACTGCCCGAGCTGAATCTTTCAAACGGCCCGGACTCCTGTCTGGAACTCCCCAGAGGGGTCCCTTTTAAAGGGCATTTGTCTTCCAGGACTCCTCCTGTAAGGTTCCGTGATGGGAGGGTATCTTCTGGCTGCTTGCCCACCTTTGGGCGATCAAAACAGAACTGGGGGAGGGGGCTCCTGGAAAAAAGAAAAAAAACAAAACGCCGCCTCCCCGCCAACAGCGAAGCAAAAAAGGAATGCGGGCCGATGGGCCGTTTGCGGGGGACGCCAAGGATCAAGCCCATGCACAGGATGTTCGTCAAAACGCGCGCGTCACAGTGAGAGTCGCAACTAAGTTCCTGAGGTCCTGTTGCTCGTGATGTGCGGCATCAACTTGGAGGCAATCGAATCGAGAGTCAAACCTTGGGTTGCATGTTGCCACGGTAGGCCTTCTTTACTTTATTGGAAGCATGCCTCCATCCACTAGACTGAGGGATCCTGGAAGACAATTTCTCTCAAACGGGGGCCCTCTGGCGTATTGTAGTGTCGAGGTTTTGGGGGGAGCAGTATCTTGCGCCTTGATGCTGTGGATGGACGAAATCCTGCATCACCTATGAAATCCTTCAATGATGACTCCCCTGTAAATTCCAACACAATTGTTTCCCGTGGTTTCAAAGTGGAGCAGGATTTTGTCCATCCACAGTATCTCCATCCCGTTGAAGATTTGTTTCCTAAAGTGGACGAATGGACCTCACATGTGATCGAAACCATCCCAAGGTCCCTGAGTGGCTGCGAAGCCACATGATCCTTCGCTCCTTCTCATCTTTTCCTTCACCATTCTCCACTGGCTTGGCAAAGCTTCATTTGTCTGTTTGTGATTTTCCTGGCCGCATGACGCCAGAGTCAGTTTTAGGACTGACATCCCCAATCCCCCCTACAACGTAGGATTGCCGCCGACCATGTCAAAAGCTGTACAAAACGAGGGGATGTGCTGTTGAAAGGAGTAATTCGTGCAGGGCACTCTTTCCCCAAATTGACAAACCATGCTCTCACTCCGAACGTTTCTGGACTTCATGTACACTCTTTTTTTGGGAGCGTCACGTGTCTGGTGAGCAGAACATTCCTGGACTTTTCCCTGGCCCCATGATTCTGCCCTCAGCAAAGTCACCCTCGATTTGGTAGGTTCAAGGGAAACAATTCCAGTTTCTGACTGTGATGACCCCCAGAAACGGCGAAACGGCTAGCGCTTCCCAGCGAATCGTCCGGTTCCTTGGGGTTTCCAGGCTTTTGGTTGGTTTAGTGGTTGGGTTTCCATGTAACCCACCAAAAGTGGTCGACTTCTGGCAGGGGATCAGAAGACGGACAGCCCAGTTCTGGTGGCGAAGTCATGCTTTTTCCTCGCTTTTGACCGGCCCCCACAACCCACCGAAGCGATCCGAAGCGTTGGGTTTCCCTTGGTTTCCCTTTAAAACAGACCTGTTGCTAGGGGTACCCTGAAAAAAGGACAAAAAAAGCGGTGCTCCGCGAAATTACAAGATAAGGGGTACCCTCAAGAAAAGGCCAAATTAGGGTATCCTCAAGAAAAGACCAAAGAAGGGAACAAGGGGTATTCTCAACAAGGGGACCCTGAGATGAAAAGACCAACATTTGGGGCTGCCTTGTGGCCGCCCGCGGCTGACGGCTCGTTCAGGGCTTCCATGGCAGCCTGCGGCTCTTCTGGATGTTCGAGATTGGGGTCCTAGGCGAGGGCGAAAACGGAAACGACACCCTGGCGGCCCGGGGAAAAAACAACCAAAAAACGCGGAGATGTGGGCCGCCGCAGTGCGGTAAAAAACAAACGCTTTGCGCCAGGAAAACGTGGACTTTATGATTGTGGCTATTTGGTGGTAACGGATCTTTGGACGTTTGCACTTGTCGGTTGAAACAGAAAGGAAATTGCATTGGACCCGCAAACAGTGAAGTGCTTTGCAGAGGGTCAACAGCAACCAACTCGAGGGGACCCTTCCTTCCTCTCACTACTTTCAGCATTGTCCAATTGGAGGTCAGGTTCCATGGCAACGTAGGATGGAGGGTATATACATATAGAGAGAGATAGAGAGACATAGCATGGTTTCGCTTTGGCGATCAGATCAAATTAAGTGACAGAGAGCAGATGAGCATGGTGCCTGCGAAAGGCTGACATGCGTTCTTGCGATTGGCCTGCGTCCCAGTTTTCAGTTTATCGGTGCCCAACACTCCCAAAGGGCCATCTTAGTGGGTGGTTCCACTACTTGGTTTACTTGTGGTTGTAGTAAAATCTATATGGGTATGTGTCAAGATCAAGCCACCAAAAAAACGCAGGTTTTAGTCCCTGGTTCCATTTACCAGGGCTCCATTTTGAGTACACACCCATGTAAACCTTTCTCATCATGCTAGTAGAAGCAGACGTCAGCTCGGATTTTGGGGAGCTGCTCAGTTGAGCTGCAGGGCATTGCCTGATGTGCGGCCGGAATGTCAGATGCACCGTGTTTTTTCCTTTGGTAGATTGGCACGGGAAGGTTGGTACTATTGTATGCATACTCTTTTGGGTCGTCGCCGCCGCATTGCAGTGGTTTTTGTTTCTCCAAACTAGGGGCTTCAAATTGTCTTTGGGAGCTCTGTCAAAAGTGGGACACAAATTCCCAGATGTCCGCTAAAGGGCTCCGAATTGAAACACAAACCCACTTGTGTCGGGTAGATGGGTGACACGTCATTCTTTCCGGGGCAGCTTGCAGGATGTGCTCCCATGAGGGCTCGGACACCCGCAAAGTCCATGGCCAGTGGTTACCCAAATGTTCACCAGTTTCAGCTTGATCGGCGCACGGACCCGATAGTTTCTCTTCAATGGGTTTGTCTTTGCTTGAGTTGGTACCCGTTTGAGTTTTGGCTTCAAAGGGAAACAACACAAGGACAACGACCATCCCCGAAAAAAAAGACAAAAAGGAAAGAATGCGTGCCAAAGTGGACAGCTAAGACGCATTTCATGTTGCGTCTTTGGGTTGGTCTGCCCTTTGGGCAGTTCGGACCTCGTTCCCTGTCTTGAAAGGGCCACCCGAAAGGCCGCCAAGCCCATCTTGGGGTTTGGTCTCGTATGCCGCAGGCCCGATTTTTTTTTTGCAAATTTCCCGCGGAACACGCCCTTGAAATACTGTGGATGGGCGAAATCCATTTTGCACCACGTTGAAACCATGCGAAACCCATTGCTTGTTGGTATTTACGGGGGGGAATCGAAGCATTCCAGGGTTTCTTAGGTGGTGCGAAGGGTAAGGATTCAAACCCTCCAAACGCCCCCGAGTTAGCCCTGGGAACTCCGGGATCATTATCGCCTGGGCACCAGGCGATCCTGGGGCGTCGAAAATCATTCGCATGGCTAGGGGCGGTGTCTGTCATTTTTTGGTTGGTGCCCGTTTCAGGGCTGGCTTTTTCCGGAAGACCAAAAGAAAAACGGAAGACTCAGCCACCAGTTCGTGGGTCCCCCAAACAAAGACGAGCCGTAGTGCAGCGCTTCCTTCAGGCGGTGCAGGGTGCGTCTATGTCTTTGACAGCCACGCTCGCGCCAGAGCCCCAATAAGGGTCCTTGCGAGCTTTGCGAACGAACCAACTGGAGCCAGCACCTCAAAGGGTTCATTAGGTTAGTTTGGTTGCAAATAGATGGGTTTAACCACTGGTTTAGATTGTTTGATGCCATCCATCTACCAGGGAACCCCCCCTTTCTATGCTGGAGCAAGGATGCGGGATGATTTTCGGTTTTCCCTCAGGAGCTTTCCCCTCTCAAGATTGGCTTCCGCTTTCCATCGTAGTTGCAGGGCTTTTTTCTTTGAACCTTTCGTTCAAGACCTCTCCGCAGCTTCTCGGAGCTTGGACCGCATTTCGAGTTGGGATGGATTTGATTTGCGTCCAGCCGCAGGTTTGGCTGGATCCCTAGAGCCGGAGGTTTTATGGTGGCCCCATTTCGGGAGCCTTGCGTTAAATCCCCACGCCCTTCACACCGCGCCGGGGCTGCGTTAAATCCTCAAGGACCCCGCAAGAGGTGTCTAATCTCATCTGCAAAAACCAGAGGACTCTCTAAAATTCTCACAAAATCCAGGCCACTCTCCTTCTCTCTCTCGCTCATCCTTCAACCACATTTGGCATTTGGGAGTCTTTTCTTGAGGGAACCCCGCAAAAAATAGTTGGTTTCCTTTTGGTTCCCGTCAAATCCAAGCAAAGAGGGGGTGCCATAAAAAAAGGCACGCCCATTTGCAAACAGAAACCTCTGTACATTCCCCACAAAGCCCAGTAAACCGCCTGCGTAATTTCTGCGACGGCCTCCGTGGGTTGCCTGACCGGATATCCGACTCCGAGGTGAGCCACAATCAAAACCCGGGTAGATGAAGGTTAGTAAGTAATCCCAACCAGAAATTGGGGCGGCCGCCTTACGAACTCGTTACACGGTTTTGGGTAGGCTGTGGGTCAAAACCAATGGTATCCCATTTCGGGGTAGGTGCACCACCCATTTTTGGAACCTATTTTAGTGGTTGGATTGGGATGTTCACTGGGGGTACTTGCTTTGGCTTTTGACCCATGGCCATTTGAAAGCCAGAAGGCCTGCTGATGTTCTATACCCCTCCCAGTGCTTCCAGTTACCTCCATGTGTAACTGACCGCTGGTTCCAGGAACCACAGAAGAAGGGCCCGAAACCGTGAAATTGGGGCCCGGAACCGTGAAAAAGAGGCCCGGAACCGTGAAAAAGAGGCCCAGAACCGTGACATAGAGGCCCGGAACCGTTAAAACCGTTAGACAGGAATCTGGTTCCCACTTTTTTGGGGACCAAGGCTGGTTCCCAAAAGAACTGTCGCCAACGGCCAGGTGCTGGGCATGTCTGGGGGCGGCTACGCGTTGCTGGGCATGCAGCTGGGGGACGTCTTGCTGAACTGGGAGCGGAAGAGCGCCGTCTACAGGCCGATTTTTGTTTTGGGGGTGGGGTTGGGGGTTGGGGGTTGGGGGTTGGGGGCTGGGGGTTGGGGGTTGGGGGTTGGGGGTTGGGGGTTGGGGGTTGGGGGTTGGGGGTTGGGGGTTGGGGGTTGGGCGGGTTGGGGAGGTACATAGGTGTCCTTTTTGGTTGTTTTGCTGGACAAATAGATGGCCCTGGTTGACCTGGTGGTTTAATCATCTACCCGGGCCATCTATTTCCCCTAAGAGGACACCGATGGGGAGGTAATTTTTCGGAAGTGTATGTTAATATATATATATATATATAAAGGAATCTTCAATGTGCATGTATGTATATGTATGGATACGGCCCTAGATTTCTGGGGCCATACTTCTGGGTGATCTGAAAGTGGTCCTTTTGGTCCGAGACTTTTGGTCGAATTGGAGAAACGAATCTGAGGCGCGATGGGTTTATAGTCTGGCCATTGGCACTTGGGGGTAGAAGTTGAGGTGGGTGTGGGGGGGGGGGGGTTGGGGTAGGGCTGGCACACTGAGCCACAATCAAACCCGTTTACATGCTGTTTGACAAATATGCCTGCCCTTTGACAAATAAGCCGCAAATCGGTGCAGCCGCCATAGAAAGTCTTCAAAGTTTTGGTAGACCATTTTACAGGGGTTACCAGGGTTTGATTATGACTCACTGTGGAAATTTGCGACAAGGGTGAGACACCCGAATCAATTCTTGACTCGTTCCATGCAACTGCTTTCTGGAATCTTAGGCTTGGCCCTGGATTGATCAACATTCAGTTCGGCCCCAAAATGACCACGGGCAACTTTCTTCCATGTAGAGTCATCTTGTTTGGTGGTTGCCCTAGTGGTTGCCTCATGTAAAGGACCTTTTGATCAGCTCATGTTGGGACTGCCTTCTGTAGAAGCCATCCCCACAAAGGCCACTAGTTCTTTCTTCGTTTGTAAGGAATCGGAAGCCAACTTGCAAAGCGTAGAAGGAAACCGCGGGCATGGGTCCAAACCAAGAAGGACACCGTCTTTTGGGTGAACTCTTTCCAGAGTTGCTGGCTTGGCTGCACGGCACGACTAGAATTTCGGCGACCACGACTAGAACTTCGGCGACCAAGAGCGATGGTTCCCTTATGTGTCCCTTGGCTCCTTCTGCCAAGGGGCCGGCACCGCCTTTTTCCCAGACGCCCCCTGCGAGTCGATGTCCCGATGTCCGAGCCAGGCTGATCTTCATCTTCCTCCTCGCGCTAGTGGAGGCCTGTGCCCGCAGACTACGGTGGGCTCTACGGCTGGAAGGGAGAAACGATTGAAAGGACGTGGGACTGATTTTGGGACTCAAAAGAAACGGGAAAAACTGAAACAGACTGAGGGCTGCTGTGTGGTTTCCCGAAATCCAGACATCGCACCACCCAAAGAAGCCTGGAATGATTCGATTCAACGCAAATACCGTAAGAAACGTTGTGGCTTGTGGTGCGAAGTGGATGGCGTTTATTGAAAGTTGGTTTCCATTGAATACCCTGAACCCCTGGAAGGATTCGATTGCCCTGCTAGCACCAAGCCTTTTTTTTGCCATGGTTTCATAACTGTGGCGCGAGAAGCTTTGGGGGGCTCCACAGTAGGTTTGCATTGAACCCCCGCGAAAAGGGTGGATAACCACTGGAGGTCTCAGGTGCCTCCGCAGTCACATGTTGCACCCCAATGCTTCTGGCCATTGGATGGCCAAGCAAGTCACGCAGATCACCCCCTTTGCAAAGCGTCGGCTCGCGGCAGGTCATGCTGTACTTCTTGAACCCTCAGGAGGAGATCAGCTATTCCGCGCATGCGGGCGGCCAGGGAGCCCGGAGGACACAAAAAAAAACCGGCCACGGGGGTTGGGGTCGGGGGAGGTTTCAAGCCCCAAGCCTCTCCTGGGCTTTGTAAGGAACCCAAACAAGAAGCTTTAGGGACCAAGGCTCTCAACCGACCCCCCCTTTTCTACCTGCCCGATTGGGGGTAGAACCTTCAGCTTCAGAAAGCCCCGAATTGATTTTGATGGGGGGGGTGGCTCCCCTTGGAAAGGGGGTGGGGCCTGGCCTCCTATTCGTAGGACACTTGGTTTTGTTTGGGGGCAACATTACCCCAGGTTTGGGTCTTTTTGAAGCCAAACAAGGAAATCAAAGTCGGCCGAGCTCTGCATGTCTGCTCAGCGCCTGGTGAGAAACGGGGTGTTCCGCCCATTTTGGGGAAGCCATCCATTTTGGAGGCCTAAAAGGATCGACTTGACAGAACCCAAGATGGGGAACCCCCCGCCCCACTTTCAGGAAATCAAGGGACCTGGTTGCGGTTGACATCTGGTCTCATTTGGAGAACCTTCACTTCGGCATAGATGGTTTTTATTTTTCCTGTTTTGCTTCCGCTCATTTAGAGGGCATGCCAAGGTTTGGAAAGGACAGACACCCTTTGAGTAAAACGCCTCTTGACCACCGCGAAAAAATCGGAATCTCGCGCAACCGCCTCGCTCGGAAAACTCGAAAGAAGCCGCCAGGGGGGGTGGCGGGCTTGCTGCTGGTCCTGGTCTTCGGGCGGAACCTCAGCGTCAAGACCTACGACTGCGAGACCCAGGCGATCTGATTCCGGATCCCAGTCGGGTTTGATGGTTGCGGCCCAAAAAAAACGGAATTCCAAGATGGGTTGCCCTGGTAAGTGGAAACATGGACCAAGACCTGCGGCTTGCCCCTCCTGTTTCACTTGAGCCACACCCAGATGGGCGCCCTTTTTGGTCCCAAGCGATTTGGCTATTTTTGCAGAAGTGGAGTGGAGGGGAGGGATTTTGAGATGGAGAGCTCCATTTTATGGCAAACCATGTTCACTTTGGGGGAAGAAAATGGAAGCGGGTGGACCCCTGCCCCTTAAGGCAGGGAGAATGTTTCTCAAAACTGTGGTCTTCCTTTTGGTACAAATCAAGGTGAGTTGATAAAAAAACTCCTAGCCATGTGTTTGTTTTTTATCCCTAAGATTGTCTTTTGGTTTCTGTTTTTGTGAATTCTTTGAAATCCAACCAGAAGAAGAGGTGAATTCCCGGAACCTCCCCCTGTGTGGAACCAGTGATAGGTTCTCCCACACAAACCTCACTCAGTGTGCTGTGAAGGGTGATCTGTTGAGTTTGGACGGTATTTCCACTCTGCCGGAATGAAGGCTGCCCAAACCGCGCGCTTGCGCGCGTGTCGCGGCTGGCTTGCGGCTCAACAGGATATTCGGGCAACTTCGGTTAAAGCTAATATTCATAAAGGTGGCTGCCATGCAGAACGCATCGCGTGCCACGATACAACCATCAAAGTCAGGGTAGCTGGTAGCAGCCTCCAGTCCGTCCAGCAGCACTCAGCGAGCCGCCCAAAGTTCGCACACAAATTGGGGCCACCCAATTTTCCCGTGTCCGCAAGGGGAACAAGTGATTTTGTCCAGTCTCATTGCAGATGCTGATACGGCACAGCCCCGCGTGTCGCCTGTCTGATGCACAGAGAACCTGCACTGAAATCTAGCACTCGGCCCAGGCATGGCTTCATGTTGAAAGGGGGAGGTCCAATCCGCCAGGCCGCCTTTTGGCCCAAACCAAGACGTCAAGACACGCGCGAGTATCCATGACCGTCGTCCATCCATTTCGCTAACATTCTTGCGGGTCTGGCATCCTTTGTGCGCATTCTTGGCCCAAAACAGTAGGTCCCCTTCCTGGACCCTGTTTTGCATAGGAAACCCAAAAGCCGACCAAAGGCAGGGTTTTCGGGGTTGTCCATTTTTTAAGTGACAAAGTCGTACTTGGTCCACTTCGGTATAACAGAAAGATACTGTATGTGGACGTGTGACAACGTAGGATGACCCCCCAAACTGGTGTTCCTTTCGGTTTCCTGAAGCGTGAGTTCCCCGTTACAAGCTACATGGGCGTTTCTCAAAATAGGGGTATCCCAAAATAGGCGTATCCCGAAATGGTTGGTTTGCTCTTGGTTTCTCTTTAAGACATCAGCCAAGAAGAAACACATGTTCCCAACAGCTCGAAGGTTGTTTGTCCCAAACGGCTAGAGTTTTTGAAGGTCAGCCAAGGACGCCCACATGTTCCAGAATCCATCCATGGTTGTTGTTGGGAAGCATTTTACATGTTTGCTTATTGTGGTTTAGTGGGCAATCCCCACTGAACTGCAAACAAAATAATTTCTGCCCCCCTTCCAACGTCAACCAAGCATCGGCCCCATGCCATCTGAGCCGTTCAAAGGGGGCTGCGTCTACCTGCCCGCGCTGCTGCCAGCGAGTGGCTTCCGCGCGATCCAACGCCAGTTCCAGGCGCTTGGGGGGAGAGCCAGATTGGGTTGAGGGGGGTTGGGGTGTTGGGTTGCTGGGCTTTGGAAAGTTGGTGGGGCTTGGGGATGTTGGGGGTGGGGGTGTCAAGCTTCATTTTTTTGCTTCAGTCATCCTATATTCAATGTCGACCCGCGTCAACGCCTCTTTCAACGACCGTTTCCCGTGGAACCCGGGGGCCGCCGCGGGGCCCGTTTCGGACCCAGGGCCTCCGGCGGCACCTGGCGGCGGAGGGCCCCAGCGCGGCCAAGACGCGGCGAGCGGTGGGCTGTGTGTCCGGAGCGGCCTGGAGGAGACGTGGGGCTTTTGGGGACCCGCAGAAGTCCCTGGATCGCCGGTTGCTGCTTTTTTCAGTCCTGCACTTTACCCCAAAGACCAGCAAGAGTGACTGAAGAAAGCGGCACCTTGGCTATCTAGGTCCTTTCATTTTGAACAATGAGTGACTCGCCTTTCTGTGGGGCGACCTGGTGGAATCCCTAAAAGGGGGTGGTCTAGGGAGGGCGGGGTTTGCTAAGGAACCTAAAGGGGCTCTACCCCCGAATGGGATTCCATAAAACTGGTGCCAAGCCCATGTTTCTTTGACCTGAAACTGGTCTGCATCGTTGCGAAATCCATTTCACCACCGTAAGTGTTCCAACCAACGTGGTGAGTTCCTTCGCATAGTTCATAAGAGGATCTTCGCGTCCCGCTCCCTGCGCCGGCGCCTGCAGCGCCGGGTGGGCGCGATGGGTGCGCTGGATCTGCTGCCGTGCGGCTGCCCCCTGGAGTTCCGGGAGTATGCGAGAGGCGGCGGCATGCTGTGGCACAGGGACGAGGTGCCTACGGAAAGATATTTGGCTGTGGGTCAAAACCAATGGGATCCCATTTTGGTTGGTAGGTGATCCACCCATTTTAGAACCTATTTGTTGTGGTTGGATTGGGTCCCGTTCACTGGGAGTACTTGCTTTGGCTTTTGAAAAGCCCATGGCCATTTCTCGGTTCGGCGCGAGGAAGATACACTGATTTTGGAGGTTTTCAAGTTGCAAGCGCAAGGAAAGAGGATCCCCTGTGGGAGTGGTTTTGTGGAGAAGCCAAAAGGACAACCACCCCTG